ATTTGCTGAGGATAGTTATGAATCTGTTATAACAAACTTGGATTCATTAATTAAATTCCACTATTAAAAGACCTATGAGTATAACATAAAGCCCAACTAGTAACATCAACGCCAAGGGCACGTTCAAGATACTTTCTTGCTTTTGGATACTTATTGAGTAGATCACTCCATTGCTTCTTAAATTCATACTCTGAAAAACTGTTACGGCATTTATTCCACATTATTATAAAATCCGAATACTCCTCGCGAAGTTTTCCTTTAAGATTTTTTTCAAGGTTTTTACGTATATATTATATACAATAATTATGTTTTGTAGAAGGAAGGATCTCATAAACAGCTGCGATCATACCAGGATCTGCATCTGTAAACAATACTTCTGGAGCAAGGCCACCTGTGGCATGTAGCAAGCACTGTAAGATCCATTGATAGGTTTCTTTCGTTTCATCGGACACAACAGCCGTTGCAGCTATTCGGAATCGTGCATGATTGTCTACAATAATAGTAAGTGATAAATACATATGATATTTATTTGTATGAGACGTATTGTTATTAATTACAACATCGTGAAATTTTTGCCATAAATCAATTTGGGATGGTCTCATCCAAAATAAACTGGTGAGGTAATTATCTTCTCCTTCTAATCTTGCTTCAACAAACCACCCATGCTCTTCATGTTGTAATCGCATCAATTTTTCATATATCTTAGCTGCATCAGTCTTTACCATTTCTTTATTGTGCCTAAAACGGCAGATTGCATTATATATAGTTTTTGGACTAATTGTAGCATTAGGGAAACGTTTTTGAAGTCCACAGATAATGGGACCTGCATCACAGCCAATTTTCACAAGGAACTCAATCTCTTCAAGCATTTCAGGCGTGAGATGACAGAACTTTATTTCAATATCTTGTACAACTTCAAGTAATGGATGATTATGCTTTGGAGACATTGACGTAACTCGTATAATGCCATTAGAAAGGTAAAAATTAACTTTCCATGAACAGCCAATTTTTATACTTTCGTGTTCACGGTTTTCTTCTGTGTCAGCCTTTATTTTGGCTTTGTACTCACCAGAATGTTTGCATTCTAAAGTGCGACATACGATTTCACCACCCTTGTTTTTTTGAGTTTGGCATTTTACAACTTTAAAACCATTTTCCATTATATAATTTTCAACATGTTTTATAGCTAGGTCCCAGTTATCAAACTTATTGCCTAATAAAAAATTCAACTTTGTAAAGCCATTGTTACATATAATAAAATTATTATACAGTATAAATAAATACCTATTTCAAGACTAAACATCTTATAATTAGCTTGATTTTCATTATCCATGTTCATATTTATATCTGTATCTGTATTCGTATCCGTATCCATATATGTATTTATCTCAATATCCATGTCTATATTCGTATTTACATCCAAATACAATAAGGTAGTTCTCTCAAATTCATATTGTAAATCATTAATATCATTCTCTTCTTCCTCTTCTGAGGTATAAACTT